CAGGCCCTCCGCGTAGGAATACAATGAACAAAGGAGAACCCAAACACGTGTGGACCACTTGAAACAGAGAAACTTTCGAAATATACCAGAATTGAGATTTTACGATTTTACGACTGTGACCGATGTGTTTATTTTTCTCTCTGAGTTTAGAATTTTCAGGAAAAGCCTTTCTGTAACGAATTTTGGAGAGTAATAAATTGAGAACTCAACTCAAGTACTTGACATTTACGATTGCTGGCAATGGTTTTTCTTACACTCGTCAAATTATTTTTTGTCCATCGTTCATTGTCCTCTGTTCGACCATTTTCTTGGCATTCTCAAATTTCAGACTTTTTATATTCATTTTGAAATAATAATTCAAATCTCGCGGATTAAAATGGCCGATAAATAGTACCATCTATAAAATTCAACGTCGGGACGTTACAATGTTGCCACTTTTTCGCATGCNTCGTGGTGAAGCCTTCAGCTTCCAGCTTCTCTCTTCAAATAGTTTTTTTTAGTAGAGTTTTTCTAGAGTTTAGTGCAAAGTTTAAAGTCTGAAGTTGAAGTATTTTGAATAAAAGTGTTTGTGTGCTCTCTTAAGCACTTGTGTTGAATTTATTTCATAATTCAACCCTTCCAACCAAATATTCTGGGATTAAACAATTGGATTTCGATGGAGTGCTCATCAGAGCTTNCCATTCAATGCGTGGAAAAGATACAAATAAATTTGATTAGCTCCAAAAATAATTTTTAACCGGAGATACTCCCTAGTATTGCCTGAATTTTGAATCCGACTGCGAAAAATTTTTTTGTTCAGCGATTGGTTTTCTCCAGGACAACAATAGAAACCCCTCGGCCTCACCTCCTACATTTCCTCCTCGCCTGATTATCCTTAAGGATGTGATATAGATACGCAANAAATTGGCGCTCTAAATTCCATTGGCGCTACTGTCCTCCTAGTTACTTCGATAGGACATAACAATNTTAATATTTTTTCATTTATTAAAAAAAAAACAATTTGAAAACCATTCAATGCGTGGAAAAGATACAAATAAATTTGATTAGCTCCAAAAATAATTTTTAACCGGAGATACTCCCTAGTATTGCCTGAATTTTGAATCCGACTGCGAAAAATTTTTTTGTTCAGCGATTGGTTTTCTCCAGGACAACAATAGAAACCCCTCGGCCTCACCTCCTACATTTCCTCCTCGCCTGATTATCCTTAAGGATGTGATATAGATACGCAATTCCTTAAGGATAATCGGGCGAGGAGGAAATGTAGGAGGTGAGGCGGAGGGGTTTCTATTGTTTTCCTGCAGAAAACCAATCGCTGAGCAAAAAAATTTTTCCTATCAAATCTTAGGAAANTGTCGGAACAACAGCCACGATGGGACTGACTTAAACTTAAGTTTTAAATCAAAGGGTTGGCTCAAAACACCTCCACTAGACCAAAAAGTTGCGCACGTAATCCTGGCCCAGAGGAAAGGGAAGAGGGGTATGCTAAAACAGAACAGGGGAAATGAAAAAAGGGAGGAAGGGAAAGCGTGCGACGTCGCCAGTTTTCCTCTTGAGGGGTCTCAGGCCCTCCGCGTAGGAATACAATGAACAAAGGAGAACCCAAACACGTGTGGACCACTTGAAACAGAGAAACTTTCGAAATATACCAGAATTGAGATTTTACGATTTTATGACTGTGACCGATGTGTTTATTTTTCTCTCTGAGTTTAGAATTTTCAGGAAAAGCCTTTCTGTAACGAATTTTGGAGAGTAATAAATTGAGAACTCAACTCAAGTACTTGACATTTACGATTGCTGGCAATGGTTTTTCTTACACTCGTCAAATTATTTTTTGTCCATCGTTCATTGTCCTCTGTTCGACCATTTTCTTGGCATTCTCAAATTTCAGACTTTTTATATTCATTTTGAAATAATAATTCAAATCTCGCGGATTAAAATGGCCGATAAATAGTACCATCTATAAAATTCAACGTCGGGACGTTACAATGTTGCCACTTTTTCGCATGCATTAATATTTTTTCATTTATTAAAAAAAAAACAATTTGAAAACCATTCAATGCGTGGAAAAGATACAAATAAATTTGATTAGCTCCAAAAATAATTTTTAACCGGAGATACTCCCTAGTATTGCCTGAATTTTGAATCCGACTGCGAAAAATTTTTTTGTTCAGCGATTGGTTTTCTCCAGGACAACAATAGAAACCCCTCGGCCTCACCTCCTACATTTCCTCCTCGCCTGATTATCCTTAAGGATGTGATATAGATACGCAATTCCTTAAGGATAATCGGGCGAGGAGGAAATGTAGGAGGTGAGGCGGAGGGGTTTCTATTGTTTTCCTGCAGAAAACCAATCGCTGAGCAAAAAAATTTTTCCTATCAAATCTTAGGAAAAATGAGTTAAATTGAATTGAAAAGAACAAATTTCACCGGATGTAAAAACAGTCCTTGGTTATTTTGGAAAGAATAAGGAAATCTGCTTAAAAACACAGAAACAAATGTTTCTGTAAAAAAACTGGGCCAAGAAAAAGTTTTGTTTGATTCCTACTGGGAAGTCGAAATTTTTGAAAAATACATAGAAATAAAATAAAGCCAAGTCAGGAATTTTGAATAAATGGTGATAGTGCACAATCAGGTTTCTATAAGAAAAATAGTTCTGAATGGAATAAGTATTCTAAAAAAATTCTCCATGAAATAAAAAATCAGTAGGAGCAGAACTCACTGTCTGTATCAATCTAATCCTCCATCCTTTGATCCGCGCTAAGGACGTTGGTCCTGTTCCTACTGATTTTTTATTTCATGGAGAATTTTTTTAGAATACTTATTCCATTGAGAGCTATTTTTCTTATAGAAACTTGATTATGCACTATCATCATTTATTCAAGATTCCTGACTTGGCTTCCTTTTTTATTTCTATGTATTTTTCAAAAACTTCGACTTCCCAGTAGGAATCAAACAAAACTTTTTCTTGGCCCAGTTTTTTTACAAAAACATTTGTTTTTGCGTTTTTAGACAGATTTCATTATTTTTTCCAAAATAAGCAAGGACTGTTTTAAAATCCGGTGAAATTTGTTCTTTTCAATTCAATTTAACTCATTCATTTTTCATAAGATAGAACATTTTTTGAATCATTCAATAGACAATTAGTTTGAACCAAGTTTGTGGTAAACTAATAATTAGTATAAAAAAGTCATTATTCATGGTCTGTGTAGAAATATTATCGGGTACAAATCTAAAATAATACAACCGACAAAACGGTCCAATGTACTCCATTTTTGGTATATACAGCTTTTTTTCTGTCTGAAAAAAAGACAGAAAGACATTTAAATTACGAGTCACTAAGGGAAACATACGGAGATTCTCACTCCAATGACCCGGAATGTTTAAAACTCATAGTAGTGCCCTGAGTGTTCTGAGTGATCATCTAATAAGATTATTTTTTAAATTTAAATTCATACACTAATCGAAAAAATCACATGAAGTTCTTCTGGTAATTGCAGAACTAAAAACTCCGTAAAATCTCCGATTTATGAGTTACAAAAGAAATCATTCTAAAAATGTCATCGATGTCGAAATATTCACTAGTATTTTGCGGAAAATCCTTTCGCCTTGAAGTATAACGTAATACACATTGCTTTGCCAGTTAATACGTATACGTTGATTTAACAGGCAGGTATCAAATTCTCTGGACAGTGCACAATTTTTAAAAAACGTGGTCATGACAATTTTTTTATTGAAAATTTCATCAGCTTCGAAGAGCACTCTGTTGGAACATTCAGCGGGAATCGCTTTTTTTATGTTGAATGAACAATTAACCAGAATTCCTTGAGTAGGATGGGGAAAAGAGAAAAGTGAAAGACACATTTTTCGACATTTCTACGAGAAGCTTCAAAAAGAAGAGGCTCAGAGAAATTCACTAGAAGACCTTTTTTGTATTGATTTTTCACTCTAAACCCAGCACATGGTGGGATTTTCCCAGAGTAATTATTTTTATCATTACAGAATAATCTGGCAAAATTTTCAATTGATAAATTATAATACCATTTCACGATCGATTTTGCATTCTCACGAAGAAAGGGAATTGTCATTAATTGGTGTAGATTCCTTACAATTTAAATAACGGAAGTTCATACATCAGACAACTTATAATTAACAATTATTTCCTTATTTTTTTGCTAATAAGCAAACATTGGAAAAATTCACATTTTTTAGAAAATGCCGAAGGGCAATCTTTCAACTCCCATGCAATATTTGCTTATCGAATGAAATCAAGCTAAAATATATTGAATATATTTTTCCACATTTGAATGTGACATTTACCTTGTTGATTGCTACTTGTAAATTGCTGGTCACCTGAGCATTCTTCAATGTCTCCTTCGCTTTCTGTTCACTGAGACCGATGGAAACCAGCAACTGTACGTCGTCGTCCATTTTACTCACTTCCGTAGAACAATAAATAAATACAATATGTTACGAATAATCGCACACGTCTCTTCACCCTTTAGAACTTATACAACTAATTTCCACCCCGAATTCAGAGGTTATGTCACTCGCCGGGAGTCACCCACGTTCTCTTTTCTCCCATCAATCGTCTGCGCGCGCATCCAATTAAAGCTACCTCAGCAGCCATGAAAATAAATTCCTCATTGTTATTTACGCAATTATCGAATAAACGAGTGATTCTGTGACTGAAAGTTAAAGAATCTTTTTGTCATTCCGTCATAACAAAAAATACTGTTCGTCATATGGCCAAAAAAAACTTTTCTAGCTCATATGATTGCAGCTCTCGCCTTCGGCTCGGGCTGCAAACTCATATTCGCCAGAAAAGTTTTTTTCGGCCTAGTGACGAAATATACTATTATGTCGCGCCGGGCAATAAGTGGAGTTTATCGCACGCTGCGCTTCGCGCAGCCTGCTTGAAACTCGACTTCTGCACGACTTGACATAAAATATTATAGAGCACTCGGTAATAAATTTCGTTTTCAACGAATGTGTGTACCAAAGAGGATTGACTAAAGTAGAGGCTCAGATCGCGGGGTTGCACTGACCCCAAGCCAAAAGTAGTTCGACCCCAACGGAGGGATGCCGCCACGGTCGAATCTGACGGCTGGGCGAACTGCCTGTGCGGGTAACTCGGCAGTAAGTCCGCGCTGTCACAGGGATAGTTTCGGAGGGGAACCTATGTCCTCCTCGTCCTCAACATGTTCTTAATGTTTTTCAGGTGATTCATTTGCTGGCTAATTAATATTAAGGAATGAAACACAGAGGGTGTGATGGAGAATTAAATTCCCCATCAATCGATCCCCGTTGCATCCCTTAATCTCTGTAACAAAAAAATACAAACTACGACAAAGTCATGGGCCAGTGAGAAAAATAATTTTGTTCTCGGCGTACAGTGACTTTTCACCATTCGCTCGCGAATTAAAAATTCACTTCTCCCCTCCTAATTGAGATTAAGGGATGAAAAAAGAG